GGGGGGAGAAGGGCCTGGGGGGGGTGATCAAGGAGGCAGCGGTTGCCAAAACTGTTTACCCTGTTCCGCCTCTGTGATCATTAGATGTTGCATCACAGCGTTCTCTTATCTCTACGTCAAAAGTACTTTAAGGCGTTCAGTATCTACAATCGCAGTATTCGTGTACTGACTAGTACGTGGAACACTTCGTTACCAGATCCGGTATCTGTGAATGTACATATATACTCAAACAGTAGAATTGGGGAACAGTGGAAAATCAACAGTGCCACCCTGTGGCCGTTTGACTTCTGACCTAGTGTTACCGAGATTGACGTAGAGCAGGGTTGTCAAACATATGGTTCGTGGGCCAAAACTGGCCTGCTAAGGTTAATTTTGTTTTAATTTGAAGGTCAGTGGAAGTCATATGCTAATACAAGCGATGTCCAATAATATCAGTCGGCCAATATTATCAACCCAATGTTAGCATATTATGTAATATCTGTAAGAATCGTTATCAGTTTTACCTTCGATAATGAAACCCCGATAATGCAATGCTTGGGTTTCGCTAAATGATGTGTGCTCTAAAAGTAGTTTAGGGGATAAACGGCTGTATATGAAAGTGAAAGTCACTAGATGGCGGCATTGCAGCTCATTTAATTAATCTCATACTCATACAGTGGTTTGTACAGACAAATAAATAAACAATATTAGGTCTATATATCGGCATATCAGATATCAGCTCTGACGTCACAGACCTTCATCACTGGTGTGTGGCTCAGTTCCATTGTCGGCCTCGTCGATAGTTCCTGGTTCACTGTGGGGACTGTCACTGAGGGAGACAGGATGTGGATCAAATATTTAATGATCGGACGATGAACGTCTGAACAGGTTTTTGTTTCTCACGCTCATTGTTTTCCCGCCCGCCGCGGTCGACACTCACCAGTACTCCTCCCCTCCTGTCATGCACTTCTCGTACACCGGACCGTCCAGCTCTCGCAGACTGGGAAAGATGACCTCATTGTGGATGATGATGGTCTTGATGACCTCATTAACGTGAGCTTGGCACGCGACAGGATCCTGACCATCTGGAATGGGCATCAGGGTCGGTCCGAAGCAGATCGCCAAATTGTACGGATCCATCATGTTCTCATCGCTGTACTGAGAAAGACTGAGCAGAACACCAAACACTTACATTCCTGTGTTTAAGCGTTTTCATTTAAAACGAGGTGTGGGGGGTGGGGGTGGGATATGCCCTTAAGGGCAAAGGTCGGAGGGAACCGACCAACAGAAGTTTTCTTTAATTTTATTTCCTTTGTTCACTGAGGACAGCAGTTTGTAATTTTATTTCCTTTGTTCACTGAGGACATCAGTTTGTAGAAAATACTATTTAAAAAAAAAAATCAGTGGAAAACGCTGAGGTCTTGACAGTATTCCTACCTACCAAAAGGGGGCGCTGTGGGAAAGACTGAAAATTACTGGTTTGAGGCACTTGTTTACTGTGTTTTTGTGCATTGATGTAGACATTTAAATTGATCCATCCATGGGTGAAGGCAAAAAAAAACAACTCACTGATTGAGAAAAGCAAAGAGGTATCTCATGACGATGATGATGGTCCGAGGAAGAGTCACAACGATCTGCTGGATGTGATGCGCCCTCTCAGCTCCAGACTCTAATTCTAAAGACACAGAGAACAGGGGGAAATAATAATAATTGCATGACAAATTGCAGCTCATTTTAAATGATGATTATTATTATTATATGTGATTGACGGTCCCTAAAGAATTCAGAGTTATACAGACTGACGTACGGACCAGTCTCTAATTCAAGTCTTTTAAGGCTGCAACAGAATGAAAGAGAAACTCTGAAAACTGACACTCGAATAGATTATTTCTCTGCCGTCTTTCCTCCGACCCCCCCCCGGGGGGGGGGGGGGTTAAGTGATCAAACCGTTTGAAATGTCCTTAAAGTAATTCTGTGCAGAAGTCAAACAGAGCAGACGGACGTGGCCCACGCTCTCCTTCTGCTCTGTGAAATGTCAGCCTCAGAGTCCTGGCGTTCAGATCGTTTCCAGGTGTCGTGCTGTTCCACCGCGAAGCTGAGCTTCTCAGAAGTGGAAAGGTGCGTGTTTTTTTTTTATATTTGACTCGTGATCGCTCGGAGGGTTTTCTGTTCAGTGTGACTCACTGATGGTGGAGATGAAGTCCAGAAACCTCTCCTTGGGGAACAGAGGGTTCTCCAGGCCTCTGAAGTACAGCTTCAACACTCCGGCCACCGAGTTTATGTCGTGGTCATTCTGGTTATCAATCAGCGGGTCTTCACCTGCACCAAGAGGGAATAAGGTGTGGTTTCCATGGTGATAACCTTTGAGTTTATATATTTGAGAACCAGACGTCGGCTCTTGTCGACTCACCTCGCTCAAATGAGTTTTTGATGTCGTTCACTTCCACCTGAGATCCTGGCACACGGAATATTCCCTGCTGCTGCAGCCCTGTGAGAAATAAGGCCCAGAATTTAGAGGCTCTTTTTTTTAAATGCCAATGTCTTCAGCTTCCTGGAAAAACCCACTGGAAACACACAACACACAGAAGGAAATGTGACGTAGTCATCAGGAGAGATGCCCTTTTTTCCAGGAGGGGGCCCCCTCGCACCGGCTGCAGCAGATGGTTCCAGTTACACGGCTTCTAATCAGTTTTCTGGAGTTTCATTAGGTCCAGATCCAGGGTGAGCGCCTGCAGGCTACAGCAGAGAGCTGGAGACAGATGTGAAGGTAGACAGGGTGGAGTTATGGAGGGGGGAGGCAGGGAGGGGGCAGGGAGGGAGGAGGGAGGGAGGCTGACCTGACTAAACAAAGATCCACAGGCTTTTCAACATTCTCCCAGTGTGATCTTTTGTTATGAGATTGTTAAATCACGGTCAGGCAGCTGATCTCCCCAGAGACCAGGGTGAGAGGAGACCAGAGGAGGTCGGCACCAGCGGCTCTTTGTGTGTGTGTGTGTGTGTGTGTGTATTTATCCTAGAGCTGAGCCCAAGGTTTATTTTTTTCTATCGCTGGTCTTTTTACTTCAGCTGACAGAGTAAAGGAGACTCACCGTATAAGTTGATGTAACGGACGCAGCTCTCAACAACAAGTGGAATGGGTTGACCTGAATCCTGGAAGATGGAGAGCATGTACCAAAACAGGAAAGAAGAAAGAAAAAAAACCAAATAAATACATTTTTAAAAAAGAGAGAGAAAGCAAAAATACTGCTGTACTAGTATTATTTACTTTACTCAGTAAAACATGCAGTAGTCAAACTACAAAACACAGGTATATTTAATGCAGTACTTTAGTGAAGGAGCCCTTTGTTTGTTTTCCTTTTCTTTGAAAGTGGTTGGAGCACAACTGCCAGTAGGTGGCACTATTGCAGCTGATAACTCAGTAGCTGCTTTCTGAACACAAAATAGACTGCACTCGTATGTTTTAAGGTTTTATCTCTAGATAAAATAAACTCCATTAATAACAATAATCATTTGAGCTTTATTGATCCCACACTGGGTAAATTCCTGTGTTAAGAGCAGATCTGCTGCAACATGCTGCCCCCTGGAGGCACCAAGTAAAGGTATGTGGTTCCTCTGGGACATGCTAACCGCTACACTGTGGAACCATTACTGTTGTTATTGTTTAACTGCAACTGAAAAGTTTTTCAGTTTATAATGGGAGTTCAATATAACATTTCAAAGTTTGTTCTTAATTTAGAAGAATTAATTCGTCACAGCAGAGCTAACACAGGCTAATAATATAATAATAATAATAACAATAATAATAATAATAATATTAATAATAATAATAACAATAATAATAATAATATTAATAATAATAATAACAATAATAATAAAACCATCTACTGATCCAACCCTTTCACACAGAGGGACTTGAACAGATAACAGCACACGTTCAACTGTGACTAAGAACAGACAGAGTATTGACAGCAGGTCAGTGAAGCTGAAGCAGCAGCAGCAGCCGGTTAATCATCAGAACTCTATCAGATTTAGTCGGACATGAACGTCAGCGGTACCTGAATGCGGGTACGAGCATTTCTTCTCCCTCTGGGACACAAAGCAGCAAAGCACAGAGAAGCAGAGAGAGAGAGAGACAGAGAGACAGAGAGAGAGAGAGCAGGGAAGCACAAGGTTAGAAAAGCTCAGTTGACAAAGGACCGCGGGAGGTTCTAGAAGACCTGGAAGACCAGGACTGGTTACAGGAACAGCTACACAGAGGCGGTAAAAGGGTCGAGGGTGTGGAGAAGGACAGAGCTGAACCACTGCTGTTTAGTCTTATTAGGACTGACTGAAGGAGGAAACTGCTGCGGGGAAAGGACAGCTGAGTGAACAACCATTAAGAGGAGGAGGAGGAGGAGGAGGATTAGAAGTAAAACAGAGGCGTTAAATCACGATGAAGGGCGGCTGGAAGAGGGGGGGGGAACAGAAGGTCACAATCAGGGAAGGAAAAAGAGCTACGGTTCAAGCTGCTTCCCCTCCTGCTCCACAGGGGCCGATCACTCATTCACCACCACCAGAAGGTACCTTGATGAAGGTCTCCATGTTGCCATTAAACAGCTTATGGTTATACATGGAGCGAGGCCTAGGCTTCCGCATTTTCTGTAAGAGGGGGGGAAGAGTGGGGGGCCTGAGAAATGATGGACAAAAGGAACAAAAAAAAAAACAAAACAAAAAAACAACACCGTTGTCTGTGAGTGTGAAGAAGCAGATGTGGTTCAGTGGAACAGTGGGTCCACGACAACATCAACAACTGTGGGACCAACCCTGATTATTTGAACATTTTAAACCCCCTGACATAGTGATAAAAAAACTAGACAACAGTATATATATATGTACATATATATGTATATACATATATATGTATTTGTATATATGTATCTACATATATTTATATATGTAGATACATATAAAACATATGTATATACATATATATACACATATATGTATTTGTATATATGTATACATATATTTTTATATGTATATACATATATATGTATATGTATATTTGTATATACATATATTTATATATGTATATACAAATACATATACTATATATGTATATACATATGTTTTTATATGTATCTACATATATACAAATACATATATATGTATATACACTGAGGATGTACGATAATATCGGCCCGATATTAGCACATTATGTCATATTTGTAAGAATCATTATCGTTTTTTTATAGTCACTAGATGGCAGCATTGCAGCTCATCTAATTAATCTCATACAGTGGTTTGTACAGATATAAATAAATAAATAAATATTACCAGGCCCACTATTGGCCTGGTAATATTTATTTATTTATTGATATCAGAATC